TACCTACAGTCCCGAAATGCAAAATAGCCGAACTTTTGAGAGCAATGTGAGGATAGGGAGAGTAAAGATAAACGTTAGCGTCGAAAACTGGCTTACTTTGGTAGGAGCAATAATTCGAGGAATTCTGTCGTCCCGTTGAAAACACAAACCTAGTATTTAGCTAAAATAGCTCTAGTCAGTTGTTGGTGCGAGTAATATTGATCCTATTTGGAGTAGGGATCAAAATTGTTATCATTAAGATCTAACAAGAGGTCCTTGAAATGTGTGGTTTCGATGAAATCGGACTATAGGTACACTCTCGAATACTCTACATATAGGACTAACTCAACATTTTCTTCCAAGTTACTTCAAGGATGTTTTCAGGCTCTACAACAACTCTTTAAACCTCGTTTTAATATTTCTAAATTTTTGTATATTCAAATTCACGTCAATTTGCGAGAGCAACTTTACATTCGGATCCGCCCAAACTTTTGCTTCCATACTTCGTTTATTATTAATTACTTTTTGAAATTTCTAGGCTTTGCGATGGTCTTGGAAATATTAGAAGAATGTCACATCAGCTTCGTGGCTTGTTTTGATGCTTTCTACCCGACATCGTCGCTGAAGTGGAACTGTCTCTGTGATCTGCTCTCACAAATGGATAAAGTAAGACTTCAGTTTTTTACATTTATTTTGATTTGCTAATTTTTCTTCATATTTCTCGCATTAGCAGCAAGGCACCTTGCACTCTCGCTTACTCAGCGCTATACTTGCGGGTCTTTGCTCACCGTCCGTGAAACTGCGCACCACATTCTCACTACTCAATCCGGGCAATGAGCGCCAATCGATAATTAGCCCTAGCGACAATTCTGGCCTGCCAATGTTGTCGTCCACTGAAGCGCATCAGTATCCCATACTGGTTGAACAAATGATCTATCGCACACAACAAGAGAAAGCTGATTTTCTCAGCAATTCATGGACATTCAAAGATGTGCTCGTACGACTGCTGGAAATTATATCGAATCCGATACGCGCGCGCATCGAGAATATATACAATCGTAGTGTGCAATTCAATTATGCAGGCGCATGTGGGGGCAAGGACACCAATCAAGGTTTAATTGATAACTGCTGCCACCTTTTGGCACGTGTGCTGGCCGAAATTGTGTACCAGACCGCGCTGGGCGATGTGAGTATAAGTCGAATGTGAATATTGCTGTTAAAAGAGTTAATTTTAAAAATATTCAAAATGTTTCTATTTTAAGTACGACAAAATGTTCATGCCGCCACGCAGCCTGCACTCGACCGGCTCCCGTTTTGCGCGCTGCGATCAGAGTCGTACTTGGAATACTGGCAATTTCGGACCAGATGCTATTGGCTTTACTGTCGACCGACCGGGCATTGCCATTGCAGGCGCTATGGTGTTCTCCGGTTCCGGTTCATATGATTACCAATTGGAGCTGCTGTACGACAACACTGTCGACTTGCAGTCGCAACACAAGTGGGAAACGCTTGAATCGGTTTCAGGTTCTTACGATCAGGATGTGGTACATAATGATATGACCGAAATCAAATTCGAGCGACCGGTGCATATTAAGGTGCTTAACTGTTTCGTTAATTAAAAACAAAATATTTATCACGCTTTCGTATCTGCTTTCAGGAGAACGCACGCTATGCGCTCCGCCTATGCTCACAAGGTGCGCGCACCTGTTCTGGCGATGCCGGCATGCCATCAATACGTGGTCCATGCGGCACAACATTTCACTTTTATTCCTGCGATTTGAGTTTCAACGGCACGACGCCGCAACGCGGCCAAATACCATGCCTTCTCTACTACAGCACGCCACTCAAGAGCGATACGTCGGTGGGAGGTAGTGGTGCCGGTGGTGGAAGCAGTGGCAATACACCAGCCTCCAATGAGGTCACCACACGCGATACGGCCTTACAAATCGCGAGCGATATCACGAAGAAATGCACCGAATTGTTGATATTGGCGCGCAATGCTTTGGCCGCCTCACTTTCACCGTCAGACAATTCCTCAAATCACACACAAACCATTGACTCTGAACACAATATTACACCGATTGAGGAGCACATGGACATCAACTGGGCGAATAATTCGCGCACTTCCGTGCTGCCCGTGGATGCGAATATCTCGACGGCGCGTGATATAACTAAGCGCATTGAATCCTTTTCGAAAGGCATTATTGAGACATTAAAATTTGATAAACGCTCCACGAATCCATTCGAAATGGAGATCGAAATAGGCGCTACCGAAATACATCCCAAAGATTTGATGATAGAGGAGAGCACCGGCGTACAGGATTTGAATTTTCGCAATGGTCAAATAGCCAAATTGAATGGCAACGAGCGTGTGGATGATGAGGATGAAGTGGCTGAAGAGTTTGCTAATGTGCAGCATCACCACCATCATCAGCAGAATAATCAGATTGGCGTTGGCGGCTTGTTACGTTCTGAGTCAGAAGATGTGCCTGCTCCTCAGCTGACGGTCGTGCAGATTATGGAAGTTTTCAATATGGCATCTTCGAATATGTTCCACACTTTGCTGCCGCTGGTTTATGCACATGTTGCCAATCTCGCTTGTAGCGACCCAAAGGTTAGTATCGTCATCCAATTTTTGAGGTTATATTGTATTTTGTACTCTTCACCCCTCGAAATAGAGTTCCGTACAAATACTCGGCATGATTAAGGAAATTTTACCGCACATTGCCGCACTCAATCAACTCTATGCGGCAAAGGATCAAAGCGCTAACGCTGACGCGGTGACCATTAGCCCCGCCGCAGCGCCGCAGAGTTTACGCAACGCTATGACCGTCGACAATCGTGAATTTCGTTCACGTAAAAAGAGTGAAAGCGAGGCGCAAATGTTGGGCGATCGCAATGGCAGCGAAGCCATAACTACAAGCAATCATTATAGTGTGGTGGAGAGCGAGCATCCATATCGTAGCGCCACCATTAGTTGTCAGCGTGTCGAATTCCCACCTTGTGTGCAGTGGTTAACCATTGAATTCGATCCGCAATGTGGCACGGCGCAGTTGGAGGATTATTTGTTACTCTCGATACCAATGCGTCCGACCGTTACGGAGCCTTGCCCGTCGAATGAGGACTACTTCGATATGCTAGATAATAATGTACAACGCGCGCAGAGTTGCACAGGCAATGCGTTAATTAGCAGCTGCTATAAGAACGCCGTCACGAAGGATGAACGTGAGAGTGGTGCAAGTGTGGACCGCGACTGGATTGTAGTGAAGAAATTTAACACGTGAGTTTCGATAAACACACAAAGTTTCTTAAATAAATTATGGTTTTATTACAGTTCCTCAAATTGGATGCAAAATGTTATGATTTTGCCAGGTAATTGTGTTGAGTTTTCTTTGGAGACATCTTCGCTGTACGCACAAGATCCGCATATTAATCGTTATGGCTTTAAATGCCTCGTCGTCGGCTATGATAATCCTTCAACTGTAAGTTGTGATAACCTCGGTGTAATATTACGGTAATTTAAGCAGAATGTTTACTTTCAATTTTATTATAGCTGAGTGCAACAAATTCATGCTTGATACGACTCGAGCAGGAATTGGCCTACTTGGGTGGAATGTGCGGTGCAAATCTCATGAAGAAGGATCTCAATTTACCAGGTAATTTATAAATCATTATTGTAATTTATATCTAAGAAAGAAATTGAGTTCTTTGTTTATTGGCGTTTAGATGTTAACCAGTATCTCGCAAGAACCCTTGTTCCAACCAATTATTGTTCGTAGTTGGAAAAATATTTTCTGAAATTCACTTTTTACTTTTGTAATAATTTTAACTATTTTATTAGTCATGTTTATTTTTGAGGCAGCAGCTTTGAAGAATGCTACTGAGGTGACAGTCTTTGGTCGAATATACCATCTGATCAAATTCGACCCGAACTGACGAAAAGAATAGACATCTTCATTACCGCCTTCACAATAGGCTCCTGAGTCAATCGGCTACGTTGTTAAGCATCTCTTTTGCGAACTCTACTCACCGTCATTTTTGTAAAAGATTTAGATCTTCTGGTGCGATTCTAGTACTGACACACATAAGAGATGTTTAGATGCAAGCTTTTGATGACTCCACGACCTTCACTGAATGCTTCGTGCCGCTCAAATACTTTTGTTCGTGATAAAGTAAACTCCTCAAATCAGTTCTGTAATTTCAGTTGTTAAAAATTCATAGTTGTGGTTGTGGTAGCGGCAAAAAATGTTCCGATAAAAATTCGGAAAAATGCTGCCTAGTTGAAAGCGCTTGACCAGATATAAATCCACGTTCGTTCCGATTTCGTAGACCTGACTGTCGGGGAAACTGTGGAATAAAGTTTAATGAATGCCAATGCAAATAGTAACTGTTCTGAAAAGTATACAACCTTGCTATCTCCCGTCTTCAAGCGCTCTGATTATCTTTTAGCATCCGTACCTCGGTTTTGCGTCCCAGTAGTGTACTGAGTTGTACACTTTTCCTGCTTTGAATCGAGGGACATGCTTTGCCTATATGCGGTTGTGGGTCGATATGACTTGGGATAAACTTCTGATAAAAATATAACAACTTTTCCGAGGCGACACAAGAAGTAAAAGAGCTGGGGCCCTGCTATTACTAAAATATTTATGAATTTTTCCTTTTTAAAGACGGCAAGTAGATTGTAATTAACCTAAAAGTATCTATAATTTGAGTGATTTATTTCTTTTTGGTTGCATAAATTTATTTCCTTCAACGTATTCATTAGTTGGAGTCCTGTATTTATAATTTAATTTGAATTTACATTACTATTATATATACAATTATAGATATTTTATTTTTTTTAAATTTTTTTCAGATGATAAAGATATGGATGACCTTGGCGGCGTTGAAGAGACAATTAATGCACATCATGCGCTCCTATCGAAGGGATTTGCGCTTTCTGAACCTGTATTAACGGTACATCAAGCATTAGAGTCCTATCTGCCAATTGGGTAAGTGGAAAAAATATTAAAAATCTTAAATTAATTAAAGAAAATTTATAGCCTGCCAGAATCTATAAAATTTATTGACAAAAGAGTAACTTGATAGTAAAAACAGTTAGATTCGGTTTTAACCTTATATTTAAATATGCATTAAATATCTTATTTATTTAAATATTCTTATTTATTCATATTATATATATATACAATACAATAACTTCAATAACCTATAGCTATAAAACTTAATCGTTAAATTTGGTAAAACAGCGTATTTGGATTTCTTGTAATTTATAACAGTTTATTCCCCCTACTGCTACTTCCCCTATTCGTATACATATTTATATACTACTGTTCAGTATATTTTATATAATATGTATGTATTATAATTTATTTGGCGTGGCAAAGAATTTGCATAGCTTCTCTTAATAACACTCTACTGCTTAGTCAGCCTCCACTCTTGGCTAGCACACTCACAGATCAGTCTTTAGGAGTCCCGCATTTTCGATCTGATAGACGATTTGCGTTTCCTTATATGTGCGTGGCTCGGGCAATACAACGTCCAATTTTTGTTTCTTTCGCCGCTTGGCCACTTGTAGCCACACAATGACACCAATCAGTATGAGTAGTAGCACCAGCGCTAGCACGCCTAAAAGTATATATATCAAATAGGAACGTGGCTGACAATTTGCTTCGATGTATTTGTTCAACAAGACAAATTCGTTGTTGCGACGACTAGCTGCGATCATTTGCCCGTTTGTAGGTGTTGCCACCACTTTGGTTGGCTTTGCCAGCACATAGATGTTGTCCACATTATTGCGAAAGAACGTCTGTTTGGGTATCGGCGGTTTCTGTGCTGTGTCCAAGTCACTGCAGCCATAGGTGTTCTCATAGCGTAGCTGTTTGATGTTGAGCGCAAAGCGTTCGTTAAATTCCAGCGGACGAGTTTCCCCTGGTAGCTGTAGGGTGTTGTTGTTAAATTGCAGTTCAAGCAGTTCGCTGTGTATATAATCGCGGTGGATGTGTATGCCTGGAAGGGTTGTAAGTGATTTTTTTGCAATCTTATTATTTTGGCGTATATAAACTAGCTTACCTTTAAAGGCTATCGGACTAGTGAGACCAAAATAATTATCGCGTATTACAACGCTCTCACGCACGTAGGCCTCAATCCACTCAGCGTCGATGGCCGCGAAATAGTTCTCTGTGATGCTGAGTTTGTTGATAACTGAAAATAAAGAGAATCAAATGTTTTGCTTCTGAAAAAAACTTAGACATGGTGTGCGACTTTGCTAAATTATTGTGTTTCGCTTGAGAATGTGAGTGGTGTGCTGTGTTTATTTAAATACGTGCTGAATTTTATAAGGTGAAATGAATGATTAGAAAAATTATTTTACACGCCAGAACCATCTGATAATTTTATTATAATATATTGTTTTAGGTTTGTGTCTTTGATAAAAGCTCAGATATTTATTGTTTAAAATATAGCTTATATAAAAATCCAATAGTTTATAATTTACACTCAGTACTTTTTAAGTTAATCTGTGCAGTTTTCAAATTTCATTTCGAATTGAAAATTTTAAAATGGCTTAAATGCAAATTTAAAATAGTACCTAGTGTGAAATTAAAAAAAAAAAAAAAATTGGCGTATTTCGACAGTTTATTAAATACCATACTTAAGTTTACAACGTTCTAAGATGTAAGTGAGTGAGTGATTACTCGGAGACAAATAAACCGATCACTATCAAATTATTTCTGCATAGCCTACCATATCCTTTGATCTCATCAAAATTTTTGGTAAAATTTTTGGTTTATTATAGACTGTATGGCATTTTACACTAAATGTGTTTCTAGAGAGATTTTTTCTGAGGTTTCATACACGAAGAAAACCGGAATTACTGCAAGCGGAAGACTTTTATAAAGAGTGATCCATTTCGAAGTTCCCTAACTGTTTAAAGAAAAAGAACCCAGAAAATTCCAATTTAATGGGGAATGTTTATTATCATTTGAAATAACATTCTTTTGCATTTATTTTTTGAAGATTATCTATTTCAAATGTAGGCCGCGACTACGTCTCAGATGGCCCATCCGTTGAGGCCAATTTTCGATGACTCGTTCGAGCATTTTGACTGGTAACTGGCACATGACACGCGTGATGTTTTGCTCCAAGCATAGACTTTAGACTTTACATATCCCTACAGGAAAAAGTCTAACGGTGTGATATCACACGATATTGGTGGCCAAACGACCGGCCCAAAACGAGAAATTATCTGCTCCCCGAAGTCTTCTCTCAATAAATCCATTAATTGATGCGATGTGTGGGAAGTAGCGCCATCTTGTTGAAACCAAATGTCGCCGAGATCACGAGCTTCAATTTTAGCCATTAAATAGTCGGTGCGATACGGTCGCCATTGACGGTTATGTTCTCACCGGCATCATTTTTGAAGAAATATTGACCGATGATTCCAAGCGCCAACGAATCACACCAAACCGTTGTTTTTTCTGGATGAAATGGCATCTCTTAAATCTTTCCAGGTTGCTCTTTGAACCAAATGCGGCAATTTTGCTTGTTTATATACCCATAGAGCGAAGCGATGTCGCGTGGGATGGTCGAGCGGCTTCAGTTCTTGCACAAGCTGTATTTTGTACGCTTTCAATTTAAGATTTCGACGTAAAATGCGTCAAGTTGTTTTATACGTCTGTCCAAGTTGCTTCGAACGGCGCCGAATCGACTCTCCGCGATCTTCGTGTACATTCTCAGCTACGGCCGCTGTATATTCTTCACTGCGTGCTGGACGTGGTCTATTCGGTAAAATATTATCCAATAATGAATGTTGAGTCTCAAGATGGGTGATGTGATGGTGTTGCGAATAGTACGCTCAGTAGGCCATAAGTTGAGCGAAACGCACAAAACCAATTCTTTAAAGAACAAAAATAACATGACAGCTGGACACAGTTACGTAATCTGTCAAAAAAGGCTATTGAAAAAAGTACCTCTTGGATCGTCCGATATTACCGCCATCGGAGATCGAAAACTCGAAAAATATTTAATTCTTCAAATATGTATATTTATACATTAAATTTTTGTGGCAATTGAAACTTCTATTAAAACTTAGTAATGTGAGTTTTAACCTTAGCTAATCCCATAACAACCGATATTTATATGAATCATATACGTATTTTTGTAATCATGTATACTCACTTTTGAAGGAAAATGCATGGGAATGCACTTCTTGAAAATTGTTGTTGTGTATACGCAGTGAGTTGAGCACCTCAAGTTCATAAAATGCTTTCGATGGCACATTTGTGTTAAATACACAGTTACGAATTTCCAGTTGTTCGACGGCAAACTTCTTGAAGGCCTGTAATAAAAAGATATTGCTTAAAGTGGTATACATATTTTAAGAACAGAGGCAACTTTATAAATAACAGCTATACATGGAAAAATATTTCTTACCAGAGGTCATAGAATACGTTCCTAAATTTTATAATCTCAATTTCGCAAGATCATCACGAAAGAATATTCACCTTTTAGTATTACCGATGAATGATTAGAGCTTGGGTATGGATTTCAAAACAACTTTAACGTCTTTGAACTATCGATTTACCTTCGGGTAACAATTATATAAATTGTGGCTCCTATTTCGTCTCCTCGTCAATACATGTTCAAGGAGAATAATATTAGAATTATTGTGAGCAATGAATTCCTACTGAACGGCTCCGCATATCGAAGGAATTTATTAAATATTACCCAGGTCTGATTCTAAAAACAACTACTAATATTTTATTAAAACACTTATTTCAGATTCTGGCAATTATAACTTCTCTTTAAGAAGTTAAGTTTATATTCCACATGATTATTATTATGGAAACCATATTAAATATTCTATAAATTTTACGATTCTACGATTTTTCTTCTACGGTCTTTTTTCAACCGCTTCCTTTAACTCCAGCCCGTAACTAACCCTATACCCGCGTATAAACCACCGAAGACTTCAGTTTGTAATATTGAATTTATATGAATTAGGCTTATTTCTTACCTGTGGTTCTATTCGTTTAACGAGCACATTATCCATTTTCAATAAAATAGCACGATCCTTGAGCGTCGTAAAACCGAATGGATTTATCACATCGATGCGTCCACCGATAAATGAGATCTCTTCTATATTACCGTTGATCGCATGCGAGTCGATCAACTCGAAATTTACCTGAAATATATAAGTATATATTTATATGCTATATTTTTACCAAGGGTTTTGTTACCTCCCGTAAACTTACCTGATCGAATTCGATAATGAGCGGCGTATTGCTTGCGTAGCGTGGAAATGCCAATGCATACTTGTTCAATATCAAATTTTCCACATTCTTGAAATTGATTTTGCGCAAACCTTGCGTATCTTCGAGTGCATTGGCCTCGATAGTTAAGGATCTGCAATTACTTATTTCTACTTGGAACACGTAGCCGATCAGGTGAGGCAGTTGTAGGCGCTGAGAAGAGAAAGAGTATAAGCGCAATGAATAATTAAAGGAAACTCAAAAGCTAACGGCGTATATGAGTCATCACTGCATATGCTCTTAGTTACATGGTAACGGGTGCTCCAAAAATTTTTGTTTAGTTAAAAAAATGTTTGCAAGTGTTTCTGACTATGTTTAACATATTTTTATACCCCTTTTCTTTGCGAGAAGCTGCTCATTTCGGAACCGCAAATATCGCACCACTATAGTATATAGCTGCCTTTTAAACTAACCGATCAAAATCAAGGTTAAAGTTTATGCTTTTTTTGTTAGGTGAAAAATATGCAATATACTTTTGGACCACCCTTTACTATATAAAAATGTGTGTAAATTTCTGCGCTTGTGCGTAATTCCGTTAGATTTTACACATTCGTGTGTGTTTGCACTTACCTGATTCACATGCTGACAATCACAAGTGAATTTAGTGTCATGCGCTATACAAGTGACATTCTGTAAGGTACCCAAAGGCGGTGGGATGGGTTGAAGCGGTGGTATTGGCTGTGGTGGCTGCCAACCACTGCCATTACGGTAGTAATCGGCGCGAACATAGGGTGCAGACAATGTGAGCAATGTCGTCACCAACAGCCAATATGTTGCTGTGCCGAATTGTTGCTGATGACCTCGACAGGTCCGCCACAGCCAATTGTTTTGTCTCTTATAATTTATTAATATTTGTCGGTGATTTTGCATTATTTCTTGTGGCGGATTTGTATCCACTGTAATCAGCGATGTGGCGGCCATTGCAACTCTTTATATTGCAGGCAATTTATCATAGTTTTTTCAATTACATATATCTTTTTAAACACTGCTTTAGCACTTTTCTAAGTTAATTTATTAAACAAAAAATCAATTAAATTTTTTTCTAACTATTAGTAATTGTATCACTGTTTCACTCGAGCTCTTCCCGACAACTGGCGAACTGATAAGATTGCTCGGCTGGCTTACACTCTGTCATGTTATTGTTACTAAATACCAACAAGTATAATTGTTTTTGTTACTCGATATCATTTTGCACAAACATACGCACGATATCTATAGCATCTGTATTGGTTTGAGGCGATGAAAATGCTCCAATACAGTTTAATGCCATGAAAACGCAAGCTAAATATATATTCGGCGCTTGAAAGTTGTGTCATTATTTACATACTAGTACATATACATCCATGTGTTCGTATATACATACTAACGGTTAATGCCTTATCTTATCGCTCAACCGTTTTTCGCTGATTTATCGCTTACGAAATACGGGGAAATATTTCTTGTTATTATTTTAATATTTTATCGAAAACTTTATTTGCTTGAGCATTTCCTTTATGATTATTGACGGCAAATACATACCATATACTTATATGTACATACAAACATAGAGTTATTAGGTTAGTTTAATATCGTTCGCAGTAGATCATAAATACAATAGGCTAATTAGCCGTTGTTGGTACAAGAGACTTTCCGATTCTTAATATGTATAAAACCGCCCGTCGTTCTAGTAACCAAGTAGCGTTTAATTTTATGGTCGTATACCAAGGTTCCGAATATGAGACTTCGTCAGTTATTTCATATCAGTCCCTGGAACGTCCAACTAAAGCATTAAGAATAATTTTTCGTCGACACTGGAAGTTTTTGTTGATGTCTGCTATCTCTAAAGTAAATGCTATTCTTGTACCAAAAGACCTGAATCTTTTGCTAAAACGACGCCGAGTAGAGGTCGCAGAAGAGATGCCTGACGATGTAGTTGAGTTCCCTACAGCCTATCAAACCATCAAATCGCATCATTAGTTTTGACGAGAGATGTAGGTTTATAAATATAACGTCGAAACTGTCCAACAATCTAGCGAATGGCGCTCCTAATCGAAAAACGTTAAAGTCGATCAACAATCAAGGTGATGTTCATAATTTTATTTGATTACCGTGGTGTGGTTCATCATGAATTCGTTTCACAGGCTCAAACGATCCCGTCTACTTGAAGCAATTAGTTGTAAACGATTAGATTTGTGTTCATTCATGGATTTTTCGCCGTTAAATACGCGGTCACATTCTATGGTGATAAGTACGGATTTTTTAGCCAAACATGAAATAAGAGTCATCATTCATCACCGTATTCGCCAAATTTGGCTCCCTGTGACCTACATATTTCTATTTTGAAATCTGAAAAATCCGCTTTAGAGAACGCGGCATGTGTCCTTTGAAACCAGTAAAAATCATTCGCTGAAGCAACTGAAGAAAATTGGATTAATCGTTGGCATGTCTTGGCCCAAAATAAGACTATTTTGAAGGTGACAATAAAGATTTGTTATAAAATACGGGTAAAATTTGATCAGATGATACAAGTATTTACATTCTTCAAATGACATGAGTCAAGTATTCAGTTTACAACTAAAAATCTACGTTAACGTTACACTATTTTGATATCATTAATTGTCATGCTGCATTCTGCTCATGTATTTTAATTGCTTTGAATTATTTGATTTCTTTGAAAGTCATTTGTCAGGCGTGCCGTGCTACACACATTGAACTCAATTATTCATAGAAACTATTTAGATAATTCTTATTTAAATAAGCAACCCCTTGAATTTTATTTAAATATTTTGGGTATTAATTTTTTGATGCTATTCCATCTCCTGTATAATTAAATATATTTTTAGCTTAAGATTTTTATTTTAAAATTTGTTGACTTTGCTCTCATATTAGCTCTCAGTTAGTTAGAAAAATCCCGAAATTACTAAGTAGTCGCAACCTAAAAGCTCTATATTTATAGGCCATAAAGTTCTATGGAGAGACCCTGCATTTTTTCCATTTTAAGAAATCTTTTAAGGACAAACTACATACGATTATGTGTGTATAGATCCAGACTTTGGTTTCAATTTCGTACAGGTCTTCTTTGAACCTTTGTTAACGAAGTGCTCTTTCGTTATTTTTATTTTTGCTTCACCCTGACTTTGTATCGATATGGATACTATATATGTATGTATTAATACTTTTCCGTCCACTTCTAAACGAATAAATAAATAACTTCATTGGTAGCGCAGAGAATGTAGCAAGCTCATGATCACTGTTCAAAATCGGTAGCGCAAACTCTTCCTCTAATAGGCTTAATTGAATTCGAGGTCTTGCGCAGAGTGTAAAAGCACAGCTTTGAAGCTGCCTTTGACATTCAGTGGGTCCCCTATAACTATAACGATCTGTGATTTTTTCGCTTGCGTTGCATTTATTTATTTATTCATTTATAGATTTGTTTGTTGACTCAGTACATTTCATTAGCTACTTTGCATACATCTATGTACGTTGCAAACCCTTTAGGAAAAATAATTGGATCCGAACTATTAAGCGTTCAAAGATACTTATTTATGTTTTTTTTTGGAATTCTATCGCAACATATTAGAAAGGTTGGCCGGAAAATCCTCGTAGTTAAGAAAATTTCGAAGCAGAATAAAAATTGATAGGTGTTTAGTCAAAGTAGCACCATAACCAGCATTCATCTTCATAGAAGTATATCCATTTATATCCATAGAAGAATACTTCGTTGTTGCATACCCTCTTATTTGAGACAAAGATTGTAAACTAAATTTAGACTTAGACCACTTTCAACACCAGTTATGCATCTAAATACACGTTAGTTGAAAAGTTTCTGGGCTCGAAATGAAAAGGTACTGTTTTTGGTACGAAATATATATTTTTTCCATATAATCTTCAATACACTTATTCTAATGAAAAATAGTTTTTTTGTGCTGCAAACCAGGTCTTTTCTCACGAATTTTTTCATCCAGCTGATCCAAAATGCAATAATATTCAGAGTTGATTTTTTTTCCTTTCTGTAGATAATCAATCAACAAAATTTCTTTTGCATCCCAAAAAAATGATGCCAAAACTTTCTTTGCTGATCGTTGTGACTTTACCTGCTTTGGAGCTTTCGTCTTTCAATTTAGGATCGTGGTGGTAGATCCAAGTCTCATCCATAGTTATAAAACGACGCAAGAAATCGGTTTTATTCTGCTTAAAACGCTCCAAATTATGCTGAGAGATTTGTTTTCAATCCAGTTTTTGTTGAATTGTTAACGTGTGCGGCACTAAATTTCCAAACAGCTTTTTCATATGTAATTCTCCATGTAAAATATGAATTACTCGATCTCTGAGATGCCTATGGCATTAGCAATTTCACGCTTAGTCAAACTTGGGTCTTCATTAACAATATTATGAACTTGCTCAATGATTTCTGGTGTGGTTGTGCTTTTTGGTCGCCCTGCGCGTTGATCGTCTTCAATTCTAGTACGACCACATTTAAATTCACCAGCCCAAAATTAACGGAGCGTTTTGAAAGTGAGGACTCCTTATACACTTCTAACAATTGTTCATAAATTTCTTTTGCTTTTAATCCTTTCAAAATAAAGAATCTAACCACTGCGCGATATTAAATTTTTTCCATATTAAAAAAATACTCTGACACGTCAACTTCAAATGGCATGTAACCAAAGAACTAATTGATAGAATGACTTTTAACTTTGCATGTGTTTTCACGACAAATGTACCAACTTGAGAAAAAAAAATTGGATTTATTGGGTGTATGAATTAATTCGTGCGGTTTTTTTTCGAAAATTATGACTTTATTGTGAAAAAATTGTTATACATTTAATTTTGAAAGTATTTCCCATCGGAAGCTCCGATGTTTGCTCATCTTTCTGGCAGTTTGTGGATCGCATCTCAAAAGAACTTCTCCGGCTTGGAGGTCAAGAAAGAATGGAGCCAATTTCTGATACCCTGTTCTGAAGTGAAGCGTACTCCGGTGAGGGCATTCTGCATTGATCTGAACAAGTGGTAATCGGAAGGTGCTATGTCTGGGCTATAAGGCGGGTGAGGTAGAACTTCCCACCCACAGTTTTCCAAATAGTTTTTAACTGGCCTTGCAACATGTGGCCGAGCGTTGTCATGATAAAGAATTATTGATTCGTGCCTGGTCGCATATTCTGGTCGTTTTTCCGCGATGGTCTTTTTTAAACGAATCAATTGTTTTCGGTAGAGGTCCCCATTGATCGTCTGACCCGATTTCTATAGCTCATAATAGAGCACACCCTTGTGATCCCACCAAATACATAGCATAACCTTGGCACCATGGATATTCGGCCTTGCCGTGGATGTCGATGGTTGGCCGGGCTTCACATACGATCTCTTGCGCTTTGAGTTATCATAATGAATCCATTTTTCATCGCCAGTGACAATCCGATGCAAAAATGACTTTTTTTGGTGGCGTTGAAGCAACATTTCCGACATGTAGAATCGACGTTCGACGTCTTTTGGCTTTAATTCATAAGGCACTCAATTTCCAAGTTTCTGGATGAATCCTAATGATTTTAATCGTCTGGAAACGATTGCTTGATCAACTCCTAATACTTTTGCAAGTTCTTCTTGCGTCTGGCATGCATCTGCGTCGAGCAATGTCTGCAATTCTTCGTCTTGAAATTTTTTTGGCTGTCCGGGTATTTCTCCGTCGTCTAAGTCGAAATTGGCACTTTTGAATTGTGCAAACCACTTGGCACGTTCGCTCGGCTAAAGCATGGTCACCATAAACGTCCAGTAAAATACGATGGCTTTCGGTAGCACTTTTCTTCATGTTAAAGTAATGAAGAAGAACTCCCCGCAAAAACACTTTATCTGGTACCAATTTCGACATATTCAAATGAAAACGACGCGAAATGACAGTACCTTTGAAATAAATATAGCCACAGATGAACACGCGAAATACAACTAGTAGAGCATTAGGCTAACACAGACAGATCCAGACACAGACTGGGCTAGTAGAGCACTCTCTTAGAAACCCGCACGAATTAAAGAGTAATTTTGTATAGCTTTGGTTTCGGTTACACCACGGTTACTGTTTTTTTTTTTTGTTTTTTCTATTTCTCTTAGAAACCCGCACGAATTACTAAATTACAAAAAAAAAAAAACAGTAACTTCGGTTGCACCAAAGCTATACAAAAGGGTCCTTACAAGAACTTGATTTTGATCGGTCAGTTTGTAACTCAGCTATATACCTATATATTCATAGACATATCTCGCCAAATGAAAAAGTTCAGTTTGTATGGCAGCTATAGGTTATAGTGGTCCGCTATCAGCTGTTGCGACCAACGAACAGCTTATTGGGGAAAAAAAGGACGTGTGCAAAATTTCAGATCGATCTCTCAACAATTGAGGGACTAGGCTAAATCGACTCAGCTCATCATTTTCATCATTTATATATTTTATAGGGTATCTTATGTTTCCTTCTGGGTGTTATAAAAACACGTGTTCGTGGCAAACTTAATATACAACTTTTTCACAAAACCTTAAAATATATGTTAAAAATGACAAAAAAAAGTTGTTGGTTTTATATTTTTATCCTTCACAAATGTTTTTTTAAATAAATCGTTTGTATACTTGCCCTTTTATTTCACCAACACACTGAATTTTTTTTATTAAAAATATTTTTCTTTTCAACTTATTTATTGTGACTTAATATCAAAAAAGCATCGAAAATTCTTAAACTGAACTCCATGTCTATATTCGGTTCATAATAGTCTATCACAGTTGAAAAGAGATAGGTTTGGTTGGTCGGAACCAGGATCGCAAATAATGTATTAAAAAATTATTTGAATAACCATTTGAATAAATTTTTTTTACTTCTTAATTTCAAATACCGGATTAATAATAAATTTAATCCCAAGCGTTTTATTAATTAAGAATAAAAAAAAGAAATTGTTTTAGAATTAGCAGTTTTTCGCCTTTGCGTACTTTTTGTTCTACTTTTTTAAACTAGAGCTCGCACAGAGCCATCATCTTCAATACTCCAAAGCACTGGTCGACGAACTTATACATTCAAATTAAAAAATTTCAATTTTTAATCGAAAATATCTGGGGTTAAAAATTTAAATTAAAATAAAAATTTTAATTTTAATTCCGACGTTGGGAAATTCGAATTCGAATCAATTTTTAGTTCCGTAATTAAAATTCGCAATATCTTCTATAAATTATCCCATAAAATCGACTTTTTAATTTATTGGATCTTTCTATAAGAAGTGTATACATTTATCAAAGTATATATTTGAAATATAAATGTTCCGCTTGCCGATTTCCTGTTTTAAATTCGTTGGAATGAATAAGGTCATTTATGTCGCTTTTGTTATAGCTTTTGGCATCTAAACATCATGCTTTTAGTTACGTTGTTGAGTAGAAATGTCTATTGTTGCTCATATTAATTAAAATTTTTTTGTCATAGAAAATTTAAGGGATCGATAGTTTTGTGAAGTTTCAAGATTCATGACTGGATATACTCTTTTTTGCATTCTTAGCTTGGGAAGAGCGGATGTGAGTTGAATTCCATGCCAGTAGGAAAGTTATTCGACTGCCATTTGTTTGGATATTTGAAACAATATTTTAAGAGTTCCCCAGGTTTAGTAGTATCTTTTCGTATAAGTGCCCCTTTGGGATTTGAACTGAATATCTTTAGTTTTTTAAGGTTTGTTAACAACAATTTGTAGGAAAACTCATAAAATATTTAACTTTCAATCAAAATTTTGTTATTATTGAATAACTAATACAAAACCAATATACTTGTAGATGTGTGAGACCCATAATATATACATGTACACATATATATGTATATGCAAATAATTTGGGTACAATATGAAAGTAAAATTTTCTTGGGAGTCGCCGCCCATTAAAAGGTGATTGCATCACACTTAAGGGAACCCATGTGCAGTGACATCTCCCCATACGTCTTTTATGTCAATCTGCTTGCTTGAAGATTTGCCTAAGTTTTTTGGAGATAAATTGAGCTTTGTAAATATTTGTTTTGGAATTACATTGACTCTTCGTTTTGTACATATTTTTGTGTTGACTTGTCAATAAGCGCCAGAAAATATTTATCTGCTTTTAAAATTTACATAATATATTTACAACAACCAAAGCTGTGATTAACATTGATATGACACACACACAAGTGAGTGTCTACTTACATATCCAGCGTTTGTTGTCAGTCACACGCGGTTGTTTCGTTAAAAGCTAAGATTAAGCATTCAAGTGATTATCAACGCTTAACGGCTAAGTAGCATGGATCAGTGATCGGGCGGTCGATCAAAAAAAGTATGAAACATTTATTAAGAACCACGACATGACACCATACTGCACTTTACATACACATCCAACCGCATTTTTGTACAAACACATTAACGGTTTGAGGTATGAGCTGAAGCTTCGAAAGGCAGTTGGAAAATGTGGTGGGCGGAAGGCGGTTAACAGTTAACATGCCTGCGGTTAACAAGCCACAGCCCCAATTTAAAGTACATCGTTATTTTCACTTATTCTGATTACAGTTACTGTTCATGTGCCCTGACTGCCTGACTGAGTGGCGACGAACTGTCACAGCTGTGCTGTGTGCGACGACGCATCAGTCACCAGTGGCCTGCAATGTTTGCTATGAGTCTCTTTAACAGTGTGCAATGATTTTATGATTGGAGGAAATTAAATTAACGCGAATTTTTTGTTTGTGTTGTTGAGTTGCATTTCCTGTATTATGGCACGGTTGGAATTCTTCTGCAACATGAGTGCAAACATTTAGCTGATGAGATTTGATCTGATCTTCATTTGCATTTGCATCTAGAGTGTCTAAAATTAGACTGGTGTGGTATAGAGTAGAACTGTAGCTATGACTATTATTTAACAATTATACCAACACATCACATGTTTCTTGATAATCAAAAGCAAATGAACCTGCAATTTTCTAATAGTTTTAGAGACTAATCGACGCTGATTAATACCCACCTATATTGGACCATGAACAATACTTTTCTTCTTTTTCTATATATAAGTTTGCGAAAATTAAAAAATATCTCGTTTCATAGATTTTGTAGGAAATTGAATGCTTTACAATTTACCTATTTTTCACAGTACCAAGCGAAAAAATTCGATTTTTTGATCCACCATAGTGGACATGGACATAATTAAAGACAAAGGGCTTTACACAAAGTAACGTTGGATTTCAACACATCCACTACTACTAGTATCTATACTTATATAGTGCTAGATTATGTCGTCATTTGATATCTACTCAAAACTACGGGGAATGCAGTACTATTTACCACATACCATAAGTCAAACTATGCAGTAATACTGTTCCAAGATGGTGTCATAGAATTGAAATTTTCAGTTCTTCAACGTTTTTAGTTATTTCCACTTCAATTGAGTGCTAATCGCATCAATTAATATTTTTATCGTGAGAAAATATACTTTAACTTACATAAAATAGGAGGTTTCGGTGCTAAGTCCAAATAAAAGGATGCTGTTTTATAATTATTTCTTGAATTTTTTCTGGTTCTACATTAAGTATACAATTAGCCTATCTGAGCTAGTCCCAGATTTTCCGTTGAATATTTTACGACTAGAGTGAACCCGTTTAATCCTAGATTCAAATCTCGGTTGAGCCAATATCTAAAGTTATATAAATAAGGCATTCAGTTCCTCGAGCAGTGCTAAGCATCCGAGTGCGTCCGAGTAGTCGCGACAAT